AAGGTAAATCTATCCCTGGAATAAGAAAATCCTTAGTATTTCGAATAATTCATTCTTTTGCAAACAGTAAGTGTTTCTCGTTTCTCGTTTTTTATATAGATAAGAACGTTGGTTTTCCTGTTGGAATGGTTTTACACTAGTCATTTTTGGGACCCTTTATAGCTTACTGTTCGGTGTGAGCCAAGGCTCCGTGTTGAAGACCGTACTTTGACCTATAATGGTTTTTCTTTTACAAATTGTGACTTGGATGGAGGGTTGTCTCATTGGCACTCATACCACATCTTCTTATATCTATATACACAAAACTTCGTTCATCAGTACATACATAACATGGGTCCCTGCATATGGGTTCCATCGTGGAGTTAATGACGTCATGAATTATTTGATATTTTTGTTTTTCATATATTTTTCTATATATCATGTGGTAACGGACTCTTTTTGAAATAAAATAACCTTTCCATACCAAGTAGCTATCTAATTTATAAATTTGTAGATGTGCTTAACTTAAACTTAAAATATTTAATAGGATCTGTAAATGTCATACAGTAAAGATGCATTTGCAAGCTTTAATATTGTAATTATAATTACACATAGGACGTTTTGGCGAGATTGTAATTGAATGACATACAAGTAGAAAGTTTTTTTCGAAATCGTACTTGACTGACATATAGGTAATTTGTTTTGGCGATGTTAGTAAACGTAACTGGCATTTAGATAGGATGTTTTGGCAAGATTGTTAAGGAATGGCGATAATGCAATTGATTGTCCAAAAAGAACCATATTTGCGGATGCGTTTAATGGGACGTTCATGTAAATTACAGATTTTGGTGCAACTGTTACTGTCAAAAATGTGTCATGAATTTCGAGAATTTGAAACTGACCGTGGATATTATGATTTCGTTTTGGTAGGACTTTAGCTGAATCCCGAACAGGAATCAGTTTTGAGTGGGATTTTAAATGATTATCACACATATATCATGTTTTGCGCAGGTATCAGGTTTGGCTAGCCATAAAAACAGGTCCAGAGGCATTAAAATGCGGGCTTCTGTCTGAAATGAAGACGACGATGAAAGGGAGAACAAGAACCCCTATTAATCTATTATCAACACAATACAAAACGTATAAGGTGTCTTTTACATTATGCTTATGCGTTTTTGCAATCATTAATTATTTATTGAGTAGCTGGGAATACTCTCAGATCTGTACTTAGTGTTTTTTCTTGTTGTGGGATGTATAAATATCCTGCAACGTCTGGTCTGTGCTTTTGTTAGACGTTTTTCTAATTTGTATCCATCTGATGAGTTTAGCCCTTTTCAACTGATTTTTATACGACATGTATATAGTATATATAGTTTGTTATTGTACTGTTTCACCACCATCCCAGGTTAGGAAGGGTTTGGCGACAGCAAACTAGTTTAACACTACCACATTATGTATGTGTTTGTCCAAAGTCAGAAGCCTGTAGTTAAATGGTTGTCGTTTGTTGTTGTTTGTCATATCATATTAGCAGGCAATTTGTTTTCTAGTTTAAATTGTTTTATATTTGTCATTTCTGGGCCTTTTACAGCTGACTGCGGTTTGTGTTTTACTCAATGTTGAAGGTCGTACGGTGACCAATAGTTAACAGTTGTTAACTACTATATCATTTGGTCTCCTGGGGGAGAGTTGTCTCATTTGCAATCATACCACATCTTCTTATTGATATCTTAATAAGTAACAAAATTATCCGGTGTATGACAAAGTTAATGTAATTCATTGTTTCAGGATCAGCAGCGGACAAGGTTGAGGATACACTGGCCTTTTAATTACCAACAACATATATTTTAATTTCGTCAAATATATTTTTCGGTCCAGTTGTATTACAAAACAAATATTTCAAAAAAAATTCTGTGCCTCTAAATCATAGAAATTTCATATATTATGTTCATTGATGAAGTAGTAACGTACACAGCTTATAAATGTATTTAAATGGTTTGAATATATTAAACTATCGTAGATAGCTTAAATTTATTGTTCCAACAATTCTAACAGCATTTAATTGAAAATTTACAGTAATAATAAAAAAGAAACTGACGAAACTCGATCCAGTGACAAATTTGGACTATGGCCAACAACTCGTAAAGACGACGGTTTCATATAAGCAATGTAATTTCTGAAGCAGTGTATTTTTTTTGCATAAAAATTCCATCACCGAAACATCATGACTTTTTTATTTGTGTAAGTTTTTATTTGTACTGTATTTCTTTTATCTTATAAAGCAACGGAGGTATAATCGCAGGAATAGTAATTGGTTGTTTATTTGGATTGGCTGTCCTGATAGCTTTAATAGTGGCATGTTGTGTGGCGGTAAAGAAGTCAGGAACTAATGGCAGAGTTATTCCAAGTGGTCAAGGTGTAGCAATGGTCCAAACGTCATCACAGCAGCAAGGTAAATCTATGTGCAGTTATGTTCATGTTGAAATGGAATTGTTAAAATTGATGTTTCATTTTTATTTTATTCATTAGAAAGCAGTATACGAGGTGCTTTGTGTACGTACAGCTGACTAATACATGTATGATAGTAAAGTCAGATGAGATAGAATGATCCCTATACATAATGAGGTTTGACACATCGACTATGTAAAAAAGAATTGAGAATGGAAACGGGGAATTTGTCGAAGAGACAACAACCCGACGAAAAGCTTGTTTTGCTATGCATAAACCATGTCTTTCGATTCTGAAGTAATATCCAGTGACTATTAAGTGTAAAGTACATTCATAAAATGGAAAAATAAAGCTGTGCATCGATAAAACAAACTCTGACAATCTAACTGTAGCATATTCTGGCGTACGTTTAATCGCCTGTCATTTTGATAATAGGCCTTTTCATGACTAATTTGTTCTGTCAGACAGACAAGTGTCAAAGGTTTCCCATTTATATTTTGTTCTATAAGTTTTAAATGGTTGTTCAGCTGCTGTTCTCCATTATTATATAAAAAGACTGTCTTGAATTTGATATTAGATATGACTAGAAAGTGTATAGTCAGTGTATACAAGGTAAACGAAAACGTTTGAAACGTAAAGAAAAAGGTACATAATGTTTGCAGAAAGTTTTAGCAACTGATAACTGTTATATACTTGGCTGGTCAAAGTGCATGTTTACCCACAAGACATCCAAAGTATCTGCACAAATGTAATTTTCACTGACGTCTAGGTGTCTTTTGTATGTTGTTTACTAACTGTTTTATTCTCATGTACACCAAATGTCCTAATGTAGATATATTTTGGTATTATTTTAGGACTTTCTCTTAATCACAAAGCTCTTAAACTTAATCGGTTCTTATATACCTTGGCTTTCACACATTCAATTTTGTGCGCTTCTGGCGAAGGTAAATCCATATTTAGGACTCTTAAGATCCTGTGTCGCACATCTAGGTCTATTTGCATATTCAACAATGACCACAGTGGACCTAAATAGAGTTCATGTCAAAAATTCAATTCTTTTTGAAGTATTGTTGATATTATTTTTCTGTCTTCTCTATATTTATTAGTTTTTCACTAAAACACAGCAAAAGATTTCGTTATTTAAGGGCAAACAGTCTGAAATAGAGTCTCCTACGATTTCAGTCAAGATTTTACTGCTGTGTAGATTTATCTTGCTGACAATTATGGCTATTTAAAGTGTGAAAAGCTCACTTTGCACTTTTTGCCATGCGAGCTTTACAGTGCTTTTGACGCATAAAATTTATAGAGTGTTGTTTTCATATAGGACTGCACATATGCGAATACTTAAAATGGATTTTATAAGTGTATCACTCCAATATGTTTCATCGAATTTCTTATTTTGAGCATCTGAGTAAAATACAGAAGAACCTTGTCATACCATCACTTTTCATATAATACATTGGAAGCACCACACACGACATTGTGATCCTAGTCTCGTATAATATAAAACTTACATTCAAAGCCCGTATTTTTCAATTTCCAAGCATTGAAAAAATAACGTCATATTGAAATATCAGATACCTACAAGTTGTTTGTATAATTGTTCTGGGAATGATAGTACTTTTTTTTATTTTAATATCAATGATAAGTGGAAAGGGTTTTTTCTTCAGAAATATAAATTACCCTTGTACAAATTTAAACTTGGAAAATGTATTTTAATACAAGGATCTGATCGCATTTCTTATTATTAATTTTAGCAATGTATCCACCACCTCAGGGTATGCAACCGCAGTACGGCCAATATCCACAGAGTGGTCAGTATCCACCAGGAGGACAACATCCCCAGAGTGGTCAGTATCCACCAGGAGGACAATATCCGCAGGGTGGTCAATATCCAGCTCCGCCACCAAGTTATGCTGCTCATCCACCGCCTTATTGACATTCTTCCGCAAAAGAAGTTGAAAACTGTTTTTTTTAGATTTTATACTTGATACCAATTTAGATGTTTTTGTTTTTATGCAAATAATGTGTTTTCATTATGTATGCACATTGTATGTTTTATTATTGTGCCGATTAAAAGATATAAAATTAATCCATATAAAGTAACCAATTTTCTATTTAATCTCATTTGTCTGGGTTTTTCTTGACTCGTTAATTTGTTTAGTTATGAGTCGCAGAGCAGTCCATGTTTGATGTCATATATTTCTTATTTATTTTGAGTGAAAAGTAAAATCCTCAGAATACTGAACTCCGAGGAAAATTCAAAACGAAAAGTCCCTTATCAAATGGCAAAATCAAACGCTCAAACACATCAAACGAATGGACAACAACTGTCATATTCCTGACTTGGTAAGGCATATCTTATGTATAAAAAGGTGGATTAAACCTGGTTTTATAGCTAGCTTGACCTCTCAATTGTATGGCAGTCTTATAAAATTCCAATATATTGCCAACGATGTGTGAACAAAACAAACAGATATAATAGGTTAAGATGTCAAAAAAAGGGGTACAGCGATGTGTTCCATGTATTTTATAACATTCTATGAAAGCTCCCAACATTATCAACTAAAACAAAATCAAAATAAACATATATTTATTAAAAGCACTATATCAATTCATAACAAATAATAAAACAGGAAAAAATGGCTATACAATATTGAGGTTATGGTATTCCTTGTCATGGATCATTGCATGTTATATGAAACATGCAAAATGTTTAACAAATACAAAAAATAATATCGAAAATGCACAAGCATTGAATAATTTTTGAGAAAAAGCAGAAAAGAAAATCATTATTCTTCTAAGGAAATTACAATTTGATATTGATGTTTAGTTTATACCAAAAATGATGGATGAATTATATTTTATCACCTTTGTTTCTTTCCCCTTGTAATTAATTTATATAAAACGCAAGTTATCTTTGAAATTCTTTCAATCAAAATAATAACAAAAAGAAAGAAAAAAAAAACCCATGTGAAGCACAAATTGGTTTTCAACTTATTTATTTACCATTTAGTAGGTGTACAACTTACATGACTCTTTGTAACAAGTTACCTAGAATATTAAAATGTAGCAAAAGACACATAACAACAGTCGATAACACTAGTACTAATAAGATAATAAAAGAAATACCAGATTATCCATCTCAAATCTTATTCAATGCAGTATATAAAAATCAGGAAGTATGGTATGGTAGCCAATGATACAACTATTTACAAGAAACAAAAAGGTCAAAGATGTTACAGGTCGATGTACGACCTTCAATAAGGAGGATGATTACACCGTAGATTAATCTATAAAATGTACCGGATAACAAAATGCGAAGGAGTTCTAATGGTTAAGCTTACAGCAGGATTTTAGCTTTATAACATTAAACGCCGGCAGTCGGCAACAGACGACAACTTAAACTACAAGTTCCTTCCCGGGGATAGACCAACATAAGACTAGGGTGAAAACATGTCATGAGTTTGTCAATAATTTGATAACGAATAACAATGAATATATAAATGAATTAATAAATACATACAGTAATGACAATAGTAAGCAATAGTCCTTTAAATAGTTAATGTTCTTCAAACAAAAGCTATACAAATAATCAACCATGTTGTTCCGTCTTTAACGAATTCGGACATTTTACAAAAGCCCCCAATGCCTAAATGAACCGCAATCTTTATTGACATCTGTATCAAATGATTTCCCAATCAATCAGAAATTTGCGTAAACGCTTGAGGACTCCAAATAGAGATTCAAAGCTTCATAACATAGACGGTATTCATTCTGAAATCAAACATAGTATTTGTATACACTCAATTGTTTGTTGTAGATAATAAGGAGGAATATCATTTATAGGGCATATCGACACATAACTTGTATATCAAGACAAGGAAACTGGATAAGTTTTTGTTTGACATTGTCATGGTTTTATGAAAATGTCCATATGATATCTTCTAATTTTAAAGGTGCATTATTTTTTTTAAGTAGACATATAGAATAGTTAACAAATATTGATAAAAATTTGGTTTCTACCATGTTATAAAAGTCTGTTTAAAAATAAACAAAACCTTACCATCTTTAGTTTAACGCTATATAGTAGTAAGTAGTCGGCACTTTTGTGTTGACATGCATTATGATTGATGACCTCAAAATTATAAAGTAACTGTTAACAAAACTTAAGATTTTTCGAAATACTACGTTTTTTTACCTCAGGAATACATTACCATAGCTGTCTTTGGCAAAATGTTTTCTGAATTTTGGGTCCTTAATGCTCTTAAACCTCGTATTTTATTTGGCCAGCTAAATGTGTTTGATTGGAGTGTCAATGATCAGTCTATATTTTAGACGAAACGCCCGTCATGAGTACAAAATGTAATCCTTGTTTCAATAGTGCGTTTATTATATGATGTTAAACGATTTTTCGACTACATACTATATCTTTGGATCCTAAAAAATGCTTTGATATGTTCACATCTTAATTACTCATTAAGATCGCTAATCTTAATGATAATACGTACAAAATCAGAAAAGAACTCTGGTCTCCTTAACTGCAACAGTCTGGCTAGTTGAAATATGTTTGCATTATTATCTATTGTCATACTGGAAACAGCGTTTGCAAATGTACAGAAAACCCCACAGTTCTTGGCTCCATCACTAAAACATTGAAAAAAAAATAACGATCAATATTTCTCAATTTTTTCACGAACGTTGTTGTCAGTTGTTAAATTTCACAAAATTATGTTCCGTTCCTTTAAAACTATCTACAAAAGGATGACCTAAATGATATCTTATATGTACTTTTGTAAAAGAACTTCTTATCCTTAAAATGTACTCACTCCATGGTTTCAAACATGAACAACAATGTTCCATTTTGATGTTAATATTTCTCTGAAGCTATGAAACAAATGTACGCAAAGGAAACATTTCAAATATATTTCAAGGTCACCAAAAGCGACTGTAACAGACACATACAACCTGGTTGTTTAACATACTTATACTAGAAATAATGATATTAAGCTGTTCTTGTCATGCAGGTTATTGATTTTGTATCAACCGTTCGTATTATCAAAAATGAATAAATATATTTTACTTGATACTTACCCGCTGACAACGGTCACTGGATCATTTGACATGCTAACACGAGTAGATATCAGATTAACAAGTTTGCACAAAACCTGTGCATCAGGAAGGCCCTTGGTCACTGCAAGATACAGGGCTATTTCTCTCGCTTTGTCATCCTTCAATGTTTAAGATACTTGAAATCAATATGTTTTTTTTTAACAAATTGTAATACATGTTTTTTAATGATAATATACAAAAAGCAGTTTCTGTAAATTTATAGCGGATACTGCGACAACTTTAAACAGATATGTATGAATTCTGAGTAATGATGTTTTAAAAAAAATTAAAATCCTTTACTTATGGAACAGCATTCTATGGTACATCTTATTTTGTACAATATATTTTTGAGAAAAAAAAATGGTTTTATTAGAAATTGTTATAATCACCTTCTTGGATAGAATGACTTTACAACTTGTAACATCCATATCTTCTTTTCCTCTGTTTGTTATTGTCAAGCTATATTTTCCACATGTAAATGAGTCCTTAGACGTTGAGTAAACCAAGTCAGCCTGAATAAATATATCATATAACCAGACTTAAATAGTCTTTTAAGATTTGAAAATTACCTGAAACAATGAAAAGCAATAATTTCCTACAAATGAATTGAGTTAGGGGAAGGCTGTAGTGCTCACAAACACGTTTCAACCCACAACATTGTTTTAGGCCTGTCCAAATCCCAGAGCCTGTTATTCAATTGTTGTCTTTGGTGCGGTTTGTCATATTTAATTTCGTTAATTGCTTTGTCATCAATAAGAATGTTGGCTTTTGTCGTATATATATTGTTTCACGTTTTATTATGTCGTGAACGTTAATTGATGACTATACAGTATGAAGTTTACTCATGGCTGAAGTGCTTATGGTGACCAAGATATCCTTCTTTGTTTAGAAGCCTTTCATCTGTTAAATAAGTTTTGGAATTTAATATTGTTTGTCCTCGAGCATCACTGATGAGACATTTACTGTCGAAATGCGCATCTGGTGCAGAAAATTGGTATCGTTAATGTTGTTATTAGACTACATTCACGCTATTTGGACTCTGGTGAATTCTTGTCTCATAGACAATTATAGCTCATTTCTTTATTATAATATAAGATAATAGCTACTTTGAATGCAAACCAATCTCACAAGTTCATAACCTGCTTCATCTACTGGTGTAGATATTACATGTTCATGTTTTACATTGGAGACCCAATCATTATTCGGGGGAAAAGATCAAATAAATGAGATCACAAAAGCATCAAGTAAAGCAGGGACTGTAAAATTTCTTAAATTAAATCAAATATTGCGGATAAGATGTAGGCACAAGATGAAAAAGTTATTAATGATAATTTCATATTGAAGGAAATCTTAATGATTGAAATAAAAAATAAACAGACATGACTGAATAAACAGAAACGATAGATACCTCAGCTGGGTCATTTAGAAACACAACAATTGTAGACGAATTGTGATCTCTAACCATAGTCCAAAAGTCAACTTTCGTGTCCGGTAGTGGTAGCTGTGTTGTCAAATATCCAACAAACTTTGTATATGACTGTAGGTTAAAATAATAATATGTTAAATTGATAAAAATCAAACTTACCCCATAGCAAGATGAGTTTTTTTACTCAAACACGATAATCGTACTGAAAATATCCAGATCGAATGTATTGTTGTCTTGAAATCTCTACATGTTAATTTTGAAAAAAAGTAATAACATAAAATTGAACAAATGTAACTGCACCCGATACCTATTTTGACATTTGGTGTCTTTTCGGTGATGCTCGAAGCCAAGAAAATACAAATGTTGGTGTGCTTATTATCGTTTAAAACTACTTAATATATAGCCAAACCCGGAACAAGAATCAGAGCTACGCACGAGGGAGATGCATTCCTTAAGTTTAGAAATGTTTAATTTATAGCCGCGAATTAGAATAAAAAAATATGCAGGTTTACGCCAGTTTTAAGTATTTAGCGATTATTATGATCCCTCGGTTAAACAATATTTATGTTAACAAAGATTGAATGGTAAAAAAAAGTGAAAAATGCTACTAAAATAATCTATACATACTGGAGCTTGCACAGCGTTGATATAATCAGTTCTTCCTTTTTCATATGAAGTAAGAAACAGTCTGTTGTTGTCCGCTACAAAGGAAGATAAAATGACCATGACTTGTTTATTATCATAGTTCATAACATTCATTTAGGAACTCTATAGTTCACCACCGGTTTTAGAACATGATCTTGTTCCTCAAATGTTTCGGGTTCTGTTTCATCAGTCGAATAACAAAATTAAAGCACCTCTTCCAGATTAGCATGACATCGCAAGTATGGCAGTCTCACCATAGCATAAATTAACGACTTTTCATGAAGAGAGAATCATATAAATATTATTTCAGTTCTTACTTCGAACAAAGATATAAGCTGGCTGAAAATAAGTTGTAATGACATAGCCGATTCAGTATCACAGATGGAGTGGGTTGGTGGCCTAGTGGTTAAGACTAATGCCTACAGTGATGAGAGTCCAGTGTTCGATCCTGACTCTTCGGGAAAACAAAACAAAACTAAACGACAAAAGAGATGACTTCAGCTTCCCAATTTTGAACTTTCCATATTTATGTAACAACATAACAGCACCTGCATACGGTTTATATATATCCCAGTTGATACGATACTCCAGGGCTTGTATTTCCTATAATGATTTCCTTGATAGAGGGTTGCTGCTCACATGGAAGCTATTAAACCAAAAGTTCCTAGAGGTGAAGTTGAAATCATCCCTTCGTAACTTTAACGGACGCCATCGGTTGACCGTTACGGAATATCCATTTCAAAGATGATAGCTGATATGTTGCTAACATCGCAACTACAATTCCGTCCCCTTTCCCCGAATTTGACCTACCGATTGAGACTTCTGACCGGGTTTGTACTTACATGAGCAACACGATGGGTGCCACAGGATCTGCTAACCCTTCCGCCGCACATGAGATCTACTCCAGTTTTAGTAGGGTTCGTGTTGTTTAGTCTTTAGTTTTCTATGTTGTGTTTTGTGTACTATTGTTTGTCTCTTGGTCATTTCTTATTAAGCCATGGCGTTGTCAGTTTATTTTCGACTTATGAGTTTGAATATCTCTTTGGTATCTTTCGCTTCTCTTTTATATTTTAGGAATGCTGTTTCTGACATCGGCGTCAGCGGCGTCAATAAATGTTAAAGTTTGTAATTAGGCCACACAGGTGAGATATTGTGCCAAGTTTATTCTTTTAGCCATGGTGCTGTCTGTCTATCTTGGAGATAAGATTTTTAATTGCCACCTTTGCGTTTTTGTTTTTTCGCACACCTTTCTGTAGAGATAGAAATGTTAACTCATCTAAGCCTGATTTACAGATGTAACTAGGTAAAAATAAACTTGATAAATCAACTTCGAATGAAGTACGAGGAATGCAAAGATTTGAAAGTGGGAAAGACTTAATGAACTGGACTACAGGTATTCTAATGTATCAAACTTTACAAATTTTACACATGCTTGGATGTATTCGAGAATTATTTCTGTTTGAACTTCGAAAAGTAAGGTTGACAGTTTTATACAATAATATAACCATTTTTATTTCTACCTTGATATCAACATCTGAAACTAAAGGGAAATATATTTCTACGAATTTTTACAGAAACTACAAATCGCAGTCGTCAAAACAGTGATAAATCCTATCGTAACATGAATAAAACAATAAAATATTAATCTTAATTGGCATGCTTACTAGGAATGATACTCTTGTTTCTGTTCTTTTTTACATTTTCGGGGCTTTTAGCAGCAACATATTGGGCCTGATCATGCTCCGATTTCTTAGCTTCAAGCATCTACAATATAAGAATAAGATTTACTTGTTAATGTAAGAGTATTATAAGTAAGAAATGCATGACATTTGATACATTATCCAATATGAAATTTAAGGTATATATATACATGTTTATATACGTATAACTTGTATTTTAAACGGGAAATTAAAAAACCGGGCTTACAGGTGGTCTTAATTGTTCAAAGGTAAAATAAAGTGTTCATGACCCCAAAAAGTAGTGAAAAAAGAAGGCAAACATTTTTCGTATTTTAACAAGCAATATAGTTTTCTAACATGGTTCTTGATCCATCTACACATGCAAATCATAAAACATTGCAAATCTTTACCCATAATTCATTGTACCTTAAACTCTTCATGAAGACGTTGTCTGTTTACAGGACCCTTATCTAACACAATTTCCTGCCAGATAGTTCCGAATTCTTCCTTTCCAACGTTGGTGTCCTTCATTGTGAAAGCCTCAAGTAAGGCATAATGCAGGCAAACATACTGCTCCTACAATTTGAGAAATAACACTGTGCATTTATTTAAAAAAAAAAGGTCAGTATCTCTTACTATTCGTATGGTCATCTATTTATTAAATAAAAAGGAATATAGGTAAAGATGATGTAATTTTATAATGAACGTCGTCCATGACCGTTTATTCCTGTGTAAACTATAAAAAAAACAACATTTTTTTGTTAGTTACTGTACCTTATACATACTGTAAAGGTACAGTTATTGCAATAACCTTTTCTTTCGGTATGACAAACGTATAATAAAACTTACAGGTGTTTGCACCATGTTCATCCTGCTGTACCTCATTTTCTTAACAAACTTAACGACATCCACAAACCCAGTAGCACGTCCTTCTTCATATAAAGCATCAAGTCCGATATATGTCCCAGTTCTGCCTATACCAGCACTGTTTGAAAACAAAATTTATATTCACGATGAATTTACTTAAGACACTGTGACAGTGCGAGACTCTTAATTGTTAATTGACATTAGTCATAAATAACAATGTAATTCACTCATTAAAGATAATGAAAAACTATGTTGAAAGCATAGGGCAAGAACATCTATTAATAGTAACTTAAAGGGAATTATGATAAATATAATTTTAAACAGATTTCTGAAATTTCATGTCTTTCATGTAAACATTTTTTGAAACGCCTACGGGCTGTATGGGCAATTTAAAATATTGTGCTGTTTTTAAATTAATGCATTTGATTTACAGGCGCATCGCGGGAAACAATGTCAATATTGACATATTCATATTCATACCTGCAATGAACAAGAAGTGGTCCATTATTTTCAGTACTTGTATGATCAGATATCACATGTTTGTGAAACAATACAAGGTACAGAGGATCTGGTGTTCCATGATCAGGCCAGGCAGTGAAATGGTACTGTATGATACATCTCTTCTCTTTTGTCTGTTATTATTATCACATGAAAGAAAAAAAAACCCCACAAAACATGACATAATAAACATTATATTATTTGTTTTACATATAAAAAAATAATATGACACAAACACAAAAACAATAATATTGCAAATCGATTGTAAAATATTTTGATTCTCAAGATTAATTTTTAAGGTAAGTAATTGGCATAATTAAAACCACGTACACAACATTCAAATGTTTAAAGCAGATGGTCATGTCTGTTAAATTAATTAGGAATATACAAATCACTATAAAACAAAACCATTAGGGAAACGCATGGAATTTAAACTGAGCGAAGCCGATTGCGTCAATAGGTTAAGCACCTCCTGTTATCCATGCATCACCACCTCCCAAATTAAAACTCACTCAAAATATCACAATAGGAAATGTACAGATCGGACTACTTTTCTTGCAACCAACTATCTAAGACCCCGAAAAAATGCTCATTGTACATGTGATTTAAGTCAAGACAAATAGTATCGGTCACCAGTCCATGATGGTGTCTATATTACCTCTACATTTTCGATTTCATTTGTTCTGACCGCGATGGAGCAGAATTTTATGTCAGGAGAACTCCCCTGTATATAAAGTCCGTCCGTATAATTTATGTTTTCAGTACAAGAGAGGAGTTGTTAGTGATTTACAATGCAGGGGCGTCTAAATATTTGAGTCGGGACTGTCGGGCGCGCAACAAGAAACGAATGCTCACAGTTACTGAACGCAAATTCATTGGTATCAGTTTTGCTCATTGTTGAAGCAGTTGCTTAAATCCTCGTCCTGTGGCCTCTGGTGGACAGTTGTCTCAATAGCAGTCATATCACATCTCCTTAGTTTTCATATAAATTTATCAATCTGATGATATGAAATAATGAAGTGCTGCATTATTCTATCGATTCATGTACTCCATCGAAGTTTTCAAATAGCAACGTTATTAACAGGTACGTTACGTTAGACATGATCTTGTAAAATGACAAAAAACAAACTGTACTGAATTTCGATGCAGAAAAATATTCTTGCTTCAAACTATAGATTACAAATTGATGATTATTCTCCAAAAATCACAGAAACAAAGATATTGAATAACAACAGCAATGTTAAAATATTTATAAGTTAACGAACACTTAGACAGCAATTCATCATACAACGTATGATTTTGGGCAATAATTATTAAGATTTAAGTACTTTGATCATACCCTTATGCCAAGTGACTTAACAATAAATAGAAACTTCCTCTTAATCACCTCATTGTGTGGTCTTATTCCTTAACCCGCTGTCTTTAACATTACCTTAAAACCAGGATGCAAAATATAACTTTAAAATTATTTTTTTTCTGTCTGTCATACCTTTTTGTCTTCAACTTGTATCTCCCTCGTGATATATGCAGCTCGTTCCTTTTCTGTTAGTAGGGTTAGAACAAGATTACCATAAGTGATCGGTTTTCCTCCTTCTGGCCAGTATTGTTCACATTTCCTCTAAAACGGGTAACAATTATGTTATCGAGAAAATCTCTGATGTTCTCTGGTAAATTTGTGGAACAAAATGACTTATGAATGAGAGTTTTCACTTCCTATCGCATTAATTTTATAAAAATCCACAAGTATGCTCGGATCTCCCAATACATAACATAACATAGTGGTACGTTAAAACAACAAGAATGCAAGCATTTACGTGCTAAGCATCCCAAACCCGTATTTCAAAGTATGACGAAAATATTTGTTTTCATCGAACATGATAAAATATTCAAAGTATGGGCATACAGGATGTAGGTGTCAAACAGATATGCGCTCAGGAAAGTGGTCTTGCATTACTACACATCATTACTGTCAAGCTACTGACCAAATATGCAGTCGTTTTGTTTAGTTATTTCTGAGTAAAATGTGACAAAATTATGTGTTTGACAAACGGACGCACGGACAGACATGATAAATGCTACATGGTCCCCACTTTTAGAGTAGGGGTTTAATTGACGTCACATAGAAAGAACACATCTTTTCGCAGATTATTCGAAAAGAATGATAATGATTGTCTGCATATCGTCTAAAAATCATTATAGAAACATATTCCACCACCAAATCTCGTGCAATACGGTATTTATCCATACTCGACAGTTAAAACGAGCCTCGCGTTTTAAATTTGAAAATTTAACTGTCTCGAGTGGATAAATATCGTATCTGGTGAAAATAGTCTTGCGTTGTTGTCCCATAATGACAAATAAAAACTAACAAACATGATCTAATATTAAGATTCAGAAGATATCATGTAAGCTGTTATATTCGATGAAGTCGACTGAGGAGATCGTCAATTTGAATACAAAATCTTAAATCAGGAAGTGTTAATTGGCGAAATTCCATTCAAAAAAGTGGGAAAGTTCAAATACAGATATATACTGATACTCTATATTTAGGACTCTTTAACATTTAAATGACTCGTTTTTACTTTTACGATATTACGTTTTTACGAGTTTTAGGTATATGTCAGTTGTAATCTAATTACTACACATCATTACTGTCAAGCTACTGACCAAATATGCAGTCGTTTTGTTTAGTTATTTCTGAGTAAAATGACTCGTATGATGTGTAGTATACCACAGCTCATTATTTTATATAAGTAATCGTAAACACGGTAATAAAGACTTTATTAAACATTCCAGTACGATTTTTGTTTAATGAAAAATATATTTTAATACTTTTTAGGCCATGTAAAAGCTTTTTAAGTTTTATTCCTTTTTTTTTTTATCTTGAGAGCCAACAGAATCGTAACACTAACATCTATTTGCCATGTACTTCGAATTCAAACTAACAGACCTGCTTTGAAATTTGACCAATCGGTGGAAGTTCTTTGCAGCTGTCAAATGATATGTAAGCATCCAACAGATAATTAGTAAATATCAATGAGAGCTCTTCGCTATTGAGATCGTGACATTCAAACTATCCAAATCTTGACCAAAATATTTATTTGATCTTTGGATGTACGGCAAATTTCAATTGTCATTGACACCTCTTGTACAGATGATCACAATGTAAATCAGAATAACAATTATTCTTTTAATTTGGTATTGGGCTGTCAAAAGTTTTTGTTCGATGAGACCCCATTACTAGTTGATTTTTTTAAAATTAGGATATACAGGTCATTATTTCAATTTATCATAGCTTTGACAATGACTATTTAGAAAAAGGGCATTTTTGTTTGAAAATAAAAGCAATAGCTTTCTTTTTAAGACAGTCGTTTTAATCATTTGTTGATCGTAAGACCATCTGAAAAGTCTAAAACTAAAACGCCAATTCTTTTTTTTTTGTAGAGTTTTAGGTATATGTCAGTTGTAATCTAATAGTTTTTTCAATACTGCTTAGTCAATTTTCTTGCAGTCAATCTATTACTGTTCAGTACTTTTTAAGACTATTGAGTATATCGTTGGTTTGTACAGGTAAGTGATAGCTACTGCACAGTCTGAACATAGACTGAACAGATATTGCTTGACTGCAAGCGAATGTTCGAAATTGATTTACCAGTGTCTTTGTTCACAATTTGTTTGTTATAACAAATGAACTATCTGACTTGAATATTTAGTTTGTCGAAACATGCGCTCTTTGTTTTCTAGGCCGAATTGTGGTTGAAATTCAGAAGATTTGGTCAATTTTCATAAAAGTCTCTATTTTCGACCAGAGGTGTAACTGGCAAAGCTTTGTAAGAAAATCAAGACAAAAGTCGTCCCGCTTCACTTCATACAGATCTATTCAATAACTTGAAAACACATTTTTTAATTTAAAAATTATGGATTTAAATTTAAAGCCGAAAAGGGTCCTTACCGAATTCGACTTTTTTTGAGCGAACCGGATAGTTTTGGTGGAATTTGTTTTTGACATTTTACAAAATTTGAAACTAAAAAAATGTAAATTAGAATTTGTTTGAGTGACATGTAGGCAAATAATCGAGGAATACCTTAAAGTTAATTTTTTGTTTTCAGAATTTATACTTACAAGAACACGACGGCTGCCAAATATAATGCAGGATATGCATACCTTTCCGGAGCACCTGCAGAGATCACCCCTGTATTTGGTGGAGTTCGTGTTTCTACACACTTTTTACTCGAGTTTATGCTCGATTTGTGGTGGGGTTATTGCTGCCCAATCTTAAGTTTTCGGTGAAGTGCTTTGTTTTCCTTGGGTTTTATTTACCTATTATTGTTATATGTCTTTTCTTTTATGTTTCTATACTAACTGGACGTGATGATACACAATTACATTTACCTTTGGGCCTTCTACCAAATTTGTCAACATTATAATCTTTCTTGTATTATTTTGCCAAATCATTCTCCAGTGGTCATTAATAGTATGCTTTACTGGTCCTGAAACATGATAATAAATGTAAAATTTTAATGCAATACATTAAAGACTACATGATCATGTCATTCCATTACAAAATGAAACTTTGGGTTCTTTAATAAATTCGATAAATATATACTTACTGATACATATAGAATAATGACATTTATCTTTTTGACACTGGATTTATCAGCAGGAATGTAATACGAGTCCGGTATGGCAATTTGATATTCGAGCTGATGAAGTCAGTATCAAAATATTAAATGCTACCACACTTTTTATCGGGAATTTGCTCTAACGATATGTTTTGTTTTGGTTTTGAATCTTTTTTTATGCGTACTATACGTTATGATAGTGTTTTAGATTTTGTGGATGAAGTCGCGTGCATTTCATTGATTAATTGACGCGGATGGACATGGACGCGTTACGTCGTTGCACTGATGCGTGTCGTCATTGCCTAATATTTTCGAGTATCGGGCCTGTATATGATCCTTAAAATATTAGGCAGTAAGATCAAACGAAAAATGTACGAATTGCCGATAGATTTAAATATTTGATGGTTGATGTTCTGATTTCAGAATAATATTAAATTTAGAAAATGTTATTGAGCTTAAAAGTTGATAATGTTTATTAATATGAGTATATGTTGTAGGAAATTCATGATGTATTATTCATTTTGTGTAATTTAAGCTTTTTTACTTCTTTGCTAAGATACTGTTTATTTTATTTGTTTTACCATTTATAATATGTCGGAGTGCTGTGGCCATCTGTAGGCATATAGTCAGAGCCATGGATTCATTGAATATATATATTTCTTTATATGTCCACACGTTGCATTAAAACTGATACCGATGAAAGACTAATGAAAATGCGGAAGGCGTTGCCAAATTATTTGCATCAGCATATCTGCTGAAGATATAGATACAACGCATGGCATTGTAAACAGTAGGTTTTGGAAACTAATACATCCATTGCGTTATCGTTAACCGACATATATTTATGACTTTTAACTATTATACCTTGTGATGCTATATAACACTTTCCCTTTTCAAAACCCTGAAATTAAAATGATTCCGACTTAGAGAGCTTTCATTTAATATATTTTAAAAGAACACAATAAATAAGGCGATGTGGTATGATTGCAAATGAGTCAACTTTCAACGTGGATGTAACTTAACGTCATCGTACGGCCTTTAACGAAGAGCAAAATGAATATAATAAAAGACTACGACATAACAAGAAGAGAAACAATTCGAACTCGAAAAAACTGCTGATTTATGGCAAATCAACAACGAACGAGAAACAATTGTGACAGACAGAAACTAACAACAAACACTGAATTACTTGCTGCTGATTTGAGTTAGGCATATAAAGAATGTAGTAGTGTTAATAATATCTGTTCGCGCATATTCGTCCCTTTATCATGGTACATATGTTAAACAGCACCACATAGCAACAAACTGTATAAACATAGATTGAAAATGGCTTGATTCATCAGATAGGCACATATATAAACAACATCATCGTAAAAATGAGGACGTTTATCTCGTTTTTAATAAGAATTCTAGAGGTTCAGCTAAACTTCCAAATCAAATATTTATATCATTGAGTTAATGATTTTTGGTTACAATAAAACCCGCACTTAATGTTTTGTTAGTTATACATATTCATTGAATATTTAAAACTTTAGTGCACAGACAGAGAACGCGTTACACAGGCCTTTCTTATATAAATCCAATAATGTGTTGATATGGATGAACGTGTTACATCCTATAAAAACAAACATCTTATTATGAATTTAGTTTTATTTACTTAACTGCTTATATGTGTCAAAAATTATGAACATGCTACAATATCCTTTGGCTTTTAATATTGGATTGTAAAAGAATGTATAAATGTTTCCAATTCACTCACGAAAAAATAAAAGTTTTTGGACTTTTATGATATATTTTGTGAGTGATTTGGTCCAGGTTATATGCCAACCAATACACTCCTTTAAAATACGCTTAATCCTTATAATTTTTCAAAATTGGAGATAAGGAATTAGATGTCCCCACTCGTAACATTTATCACACGTTAATTGTAACGTGGCTTTGAATTGAATTGGCGCATGAGTATATTTTTTAATTAACGTAAAAAAAACCCCAATATACTCCATGAAATTTGCTATCTGAAAAAGAAACTTATTTTTTTTCTTTCAATTAGATGTTTTGTGTTTATTATTTAATTTGACGATGAGTGCAAAGTGAAAATAAATATTTTTAACGTCGAGCCGGTTTGTGTTATTATCGCCACCATCTTGTTTATATTGGTTACAAAAAGTAGTTCTGTCAACGTCGTCTATCGAAAAATAAACATCAAGATCAACTACCGGAAGCCGTCTCGACCATAGAGATGGGTTGCGCATGCGTTCATCATATTCAGTTATTCAAAAGAAAATAATTTCAAACTTTAAAAGTGACACAAGAGATCCATATGGTGGATGGACAATTTCGTTGACGAATTAGGCCCTTAAAATGTCACAAAGAAACTTTAGAATTCATGTGAAATATTAGTATGCTATGAATCAAAGTATAGAATTTGAGTTATTTGGGTGGTGATGAATTTGGCAGCTAATATCCTTTCATGAAACTACATATATAGGTTTAAGTTAGTTCAATAACAAAAATGTGACTTACTGAAGTTTGAAACGGGACTAAAATTTCATTTTTTTTATCTATACTGGTTTAATATTTGCAAAAGAGTAGTCGTCTTGTTGTGCTCCGGATCACGGGCTCTTTATCTTAATTTAAGAACTTATATGTTTTTTTAATTTAATTTAATTTTAAAAAAGCAAAATATGAAAGTCGCTTTCTTATGTTTCGATTACATTAAAAAAGGAGTAAATAACTATGTATTAAATCATTACATTTAGTATGATGCTTGTTAAGTAAATGGATATCAAATGATACATAAATACTTACGTCAACATAGTTGGCATTTATATAATCTGAAGCTATTCCATGACCTGGTTCCAATACTACCCTTGTATGGTCGTCTACAAGAGAATAATGTTTACTGGAGTTTAACCCATTTCTCTGACTTCAGTCTATTGTTCTTACTCTAGATTATTTTTTTAAGAATCCACTGACCAATGGAGATAACTTATATTATAACTTTAAACTTTTAACTTACGATACTTTATCCTCTCAAAAACGAGTGGCATATGAAGGGTTCGAACTCGCGCGTAATTTCTTCATAATCAGAAGAGTATATGCATAATACCACTATACCACCAGTGTGCACATAAATCCATATCTAAATAACACTCTTAAAGTGCTTAACTATCAATACATGTCAATAAACTGTATTTCTGTCTCATAGATCATAATTCGCTTTTGTTATCTAATAAAATATATATATTATGCCTGGGTTTGTTCATGTTCTTTTCAAATTTATTCAAATTGTTTGATTTGGGCGTTAATTTTTTAAGGAAGATTATGTTCTACATTTGAACGTTCTTGAGCATAGTTATATAGCAGTATGAAAATATAAAATGACAAGAGAAAAAATAAATAAAAACATTTTTCTTAAAAATCATAGATAAAAAGAGTTTATTCCTGATGTCAAGTTTGAACATTGGTCGATTTTCAACACCGTTATAATGAACTGATGAATATATATACGACTGTGGCTATTACACTATAGAATCAAGGAATTGTATATATTAGAACAATTTCTTGATAAAATAAACATCCATATGCCCATTACACTTGTGACTTTTAACGTACAAGGACTTTTCCTTTTCATCATAGCAAATGCTTACTTATGGTTTTAGTCTTATAATGTTATCATACTATTAATAATTTTTTCTTTGTTTGATTATAAATGTTCCAAATATACATCACGTCAACATTGAACGGACTCTAATTTAAATAAAGTGTGATATATAAGACACGACCGTAAAACTACTACTTTGACAGTAAAACCAAAAACATAATCATCACCTTTATATGAAAATGAAATATATAATACCTCTGAGATTAAAACAATATTATGGTCGAGAAAAAAAATTCTTTGAAAAAAATGGAGTCCGGGTACAAGGTTTGAACTTGGCACTGTTAATTTCACAGTTATGCTTTTCGTTACCAACGACTAAACGATAACGGCTATGAACCGCTTGAATGTAAAATTACAAAAATCGACATAATTAAACATTGTACATCTGAAGCAAGAGCAATTCTGCTGGTGATTCAGAATGCATACCACAGATAATACTAGTTTATTGACTGGTTGACGATGCATGCCAAATGTAACAACGCTAAAATAATCCAAACGTAATGAAAGGGAAACAGTTTAACCATATTCATGTATAATTGTTCAAATAAGACATTCAGCAAATAATTTTATTTATTTTGGAAAGCAACATCAAATGGGGTATCATAAATTACAAAATGTAGAAGAATTGTGGCAACTACGCTACATTTATATATTTGACTTAGTGCGGCTAAATTGTAGCCAGTCCTGAAACACCGTAAACTATTATGATGATGGAAGTTTTAAACGACCTTAACTGGCTATATAGCCCTTGCACGGTCGGTATAAACAATTACATGTTGTTAAATACTATATATGTAAATTTGAAAATTTCTACATTTTGGTAATTATAATATTTTTACTTTTCAAAACAAGATAAATATATTCTGTATATTAGTATATGTCTTTTTCAATAAATCATAAATACCAAAATCTATATAATTTGAATAATTTGTAATGATTAAACATTAAATGAAATATGTATATACAAACTTGAAATCTGGTATTTAAAAGGGGAGCTAACACCCCATTTAAGTTGTATTAAACTTATGTTAACTTGTCAAATGTCTAAATATAAATGTGAACAGTGTGGATATAATCATTTCCAGCTATTATAGAATAAAAAAGTCAAAATACGAAATTATTTTAATGAAATTCCGTTGATTCATTGTCATAACGCAAAACAGACAGTCGTTTTACTAGAGATGGGTTAAGCTAGAGAATTGATAAGAAGTAGTGGATTCGGAAACGATAATCAACTTGCGACTAAAGTCGCTCGTTGATTATCGTTTACGAATCCACTACTTCTTATCTATTCTCTACTACATAATCAGGACTGTATGAATACAATAGTGTTACTTTTATCATTATAAATTTATACTTATGTCTAAAATTTTCAACAAACCACTTCATTACTTAATCAAAACTTTATATTTGATATACAATCTTGACATTAAATTTCATTTAAACATACAAAATAAAACATGTACAAACTTAATTCTAGCAAGATGATGACCTTGAAATACTTACATGGAAAAGTTGTTTTAAATCTATTCTTTGGTAGATTTTCTTTTAGTTGAGCCTTTGTAGTGGGGTGTTGAACTCCATATGGTATTTTCTAATGTCAAGAGATTAATATAATATTATGATTAGTTACCGTTATCGTAGGAAGGATAATTCCAAGGAAGTAGAAAAGAATTTAACTTCTATGTAAACTGTGTACTTTTCGAAAAAAATATATGCTGTTTCAGCATTTGGTAAACGTTTAAAAATTAACTTTAGAAGTGATCATAATAAGCATTCATATTGATACATTCATGTTTAATTATGCATTTGCCACACATTGAATGTAGATACATTAGCACAACAGACAGAGTAACTTATACGTTATTATTTAGCACTATGTATACATCAAATTTCGATTGTGAAGTCTCCAATCAAAACTCTCCTTACCTTATATTCATCTTCTAACTTGACATTCATATTCGATTTTCTTTTGAAAATATAATTTTTCAGCTCACTGACTCTTATACTTGTGATTATGTCATCAATGTTGTAATACGTTGAATCATCATTGCCATTGTCCAGGTTTCTGTTTAAGGGGGTCTTTTCCTTTGTATTGTTTTGTTTGGTAGATTCATTATCATTTGATTTCATTTTCTTGCTTGATTTAGGCTCCGTCTCTTTGTTTGGATTCAGTTTCGTCAGTATTGACGAAGGCGCTTCATCCTCATCAGTATCAGTAGATGAGACCCGGCCTATATTCATATACATTTCCCCTTGAGCTTTTGTTTCTGCAAAGATGCATTATAAAAATTCAGCTTTTAAAGAATTAGAAAGTTACCAAACTAAATCAAACTATCAAACAATCAGAAGAACTTGCATGTTAATGTAAAATATGCAGAGAAACAATACGTATGCTATCAATAACAGACCTTTATTGCAAGTTAAAAGCATGCTATTTAATAAATAAACAATATTACATCCCCATGTATTAAGTATTTAAATTATTCTTTATGGATGAGTAAGGTACACTGATCTAAAGTAGTCATTTCTCGCTGCATTGAAGACCTGTTAGTGACCTTCTGCTGTTGTCTGTTCTATGGTCGGGTTGTTGTCTCTTTGACACATTCCCCATTTCCATTTTCAATTTTATGTCCACTTACAGTAAACTAAATAGCGGACTGAATGTGTCATAAATAGCCGATTTCAAAGTTAAATAATTGCTTATCGAATTGCACCTCATTGATGTAAAACTCTTTGACGTGAAAAAAAGACTTAGCTGAGTTCAAACAGCGCAAGCGTGCACAAAAAAACAGCTCTAATATTAAACTGGGCATCCGCAGTGGTTCATGGCGGAAGAGTATTTCTTTGCAGGATCATTTATAGTTTAATGTGTCTTCAGCAAAACTGGCACAAAATACGTGTCTAGGATGAACTTTTAGAAGATATAACTTGGTGGCAAGAATTTATTACTTCCTTCAATGGGAAATCGCTTATTTTAGATAAGATACCAGTAACGTCTGTCATAACAGATGCTTGTAGAAGCGGAGGGGGCGGTTTCCATGATTTAGACTGGTGCTATGTCAATTGGGAACAAGATTTCCCTCGTATTTCTAGTTTTCTATCCATGAACTTTTACAGGCTTTTCCAGTTATTTTAGCTGCAAATGCTGGTCTAGTAGTTGGGGAAATAAAAGAGATACTGTTCTGTTAAATAATATGGCAACAGTTGCCTGCATTAATAAATGTATAACTCATAACAAGATCTGAATGTGATTTTTAAGGAAACAGTTTGGTTGTCAGCCTCATTCAAATTTTTTCACATTAAGGCTGTTCATGTCCCAGGCTCTAGCAATGTATTGGCAGACCGCATTTCAAGGCTCCATGAATCAAGTTTATTTGAGTTTTTTTATGAGATCTTGTCTACCCCAGCCCCTGTTTATTTCCCAATTGTACGAGCATATGGCTAATGCTGCCCTTTCTTTTCTTTTGTTTGGGCATACAGGACACCAGGAATCTGGAGGAATTGGATGATCTGGTCCTCCATTTTAGAGTTAATACGTTTGCGGAATCAACAAAAAAGACATACATGGATTATTTAAAATCTTAATTACTGTTTTGTAAAATATTTGCAATACCTTTATTTCCTTTATCAAACGAGAAAGCAGCCCGTTACATATTTATCTCGCAGGCTGCAGTATAACTTTATTTCAAATTATATGATTATTATAAAATTAAATCATGTTGAAGCAGCATGACCAGATCCTGTCGCTGGTCATTTTGTACATTCTGTTTTCAGGGGACAAAAACGGCCATTGGAACTGTAAATAATAGGAAATATCCCATCACCCTATTTATTCTGAGAAGTATAATTACCAGCATCAATCTTTCATGTACTGGGGACTTGGCTTTCTGAGCAGCTTGTTTAGTTGAATTTTTCTCATTTCTTAGGACGTTGAACCTTTTGATCCCTTCACCATCCCAGTTTGACACAAAGGTGCACTTGAACAGGCAGGATATTATTTTCCAACCCAAAGGTGTTGTTTTGAGAATCCGCAAAACTAAGACCATCCAATATGCACAAAGAATACATGAGACCCAAATTCAGAGAATTTCTGATTCCACGATTTGTCCAGCATGGGCTTTGTTATTAATAGAGTTTGTTGACCGTTATGGAATATCCGTTTGATAGCGGATATGACATTGTTCCTTATGTCGTAACTACAAACCCGTTCCCTTTTACGAATGTGACCCACCGAATTAGACTTGTTACCGGGTTTGTATTAACACGAGCAACACGACGGGTGCCACATGTGGAGCAGGATCTACTTACCCCCTGCTTGCACCTGAGATCACCCCCAGTTTTTGGTGGGGTTCGTGTTGCTTAGTCTTTATTTTTCTATGTTGTGTTTTGTGTACTATTGTATGGCTGTCTTTTTCTTTTAAATGAGTTTGACTGTCCCTCTGGTATCTTTCGCCCCGCTTTTACATAATATGGTTCCAAATAATACAACACCATGTCCTGCATTCATTTATTTACGCAAACATTTAGTTACCCCACTTACATATTCAGCCTATTTGGCTCGATTGAAAAACGCTCTACACCTTTTAGGTATTGATAGCAACCAATATTCTGGTCATGGTTTTCGTAGATGTGGGGCATCCTTTGCATTGGAATGTGGCCTACCAGGTGAAGTCATCAAAGAGACTGGCGTAACGATGCCCACAATCCTAATTTGACCCATCTTTGTCTTACCGTCATCAGGTGATGCATGCTTTTGCTACAGTTTTGCGGGATCGATGTAATTTTGTCTTTGGCTATATTTGCCAATTATGTTTGCATCTAATTGGAATTATAATTAAACTGTAGATTTACTTGGCCCAAACCTGTATTTAGTTTTTATTCAGCCTTAAGCATTTGTTATGGTTTCTCCACTAGAGTCTGAATTAGTTATTTGAATTGCCTCAGAACCTGGTTGCGACTCCTCACATAGAAGTTGCAAACTTACACTTTTACACTAAGGAAAGGCAAACAGAGGTAACCATTAAATATAGATGTGGGATGTTATCTGAGAGGTGGTAGCACCACAACAAAAAACTACCACGTGGTTCAAATGGGGGGGGGGGGGGGGGGGGGGCGTTTCGAAAGAGCTATGATTTGAATTATATTACTCGTTTATGGCATATGTATTCGAAGTTGACATAACCGAAAATTAATCATCATGGTTGAGCATTTAAACGTATCGTAAACTAATTCATACCTGTGCTGTACTGAACGGCCTGCTCAGACGTTGTAAGTCTTGTGTCCACTTTCTGTCTCTTTGTGTTTTTCTCATGTGAATTTCGTCTTCTTTGTGACATAAAAAATATTAGCATTACAACATGGAATAACAGGTAAAAATAATCACACATAAAATGTTTGATATAACAAAAGGATTATATAAACAGTGAAAATTTTATTGAAAACATCATTTTATAATTTTTTTATCATCTCTTCGGTAAAAGATTATTGTTCCTACGAAATGATTTTATAGAAATACGGATGAAGCGAACATTAAAAAAATCAGGATAGTAAAAAATCCGCATTGTCATGTAGTTTATCTGAATTATTTAATTACAAAATTAAATGATTTACCGTCGGAAGACAATAAAACATATAAATACAGCAACAAATACAACTATTACTCCTATCACACCACCAACAGCTGATGCTAAAGCAGTACTGGTCTTTTCTGGATCTGAAAACGATAAATTGAAAGTAATCCAGGCTTGAAATATACATAAAACATGTATGCATTTGATTGGCAAGAGGTAAAAGTTTCTCAAATGTCTTTTAATGAAGGAATATTAAATATTTTTATCTGATAATATATAAATTAGATTGCGACACTGTAATAAACGTGTTTTATTTACTTACATATAAAAAGTCACATAAAGGCATTTATGTTTTTGCCTCTAGTGAATAGTATTGATGACAGACCTTTGGAAATCTATGTGTCATAATATTTCCAAACTCAGCGCGATTTACATGATTTAGGCCATCATGTTTTGTTAATACTCATTTATCATTGAAAACCGTGTGCTTTTTATAAAATTCCCAATGCTTTTTGTGTTCTTGAATATTTATTATTTAGGCCTGTTGCTAAAAAACGTTTTTGATTGAAAGTAAAACATATGTTCAAACAAGAATGTGTCCATAGTACACGGATGCTCCACTCGCACTATCATTTTCTATGGACTGTGAAATTGGGGTCAAAACTGTAATATGGCATTAAAATTAGAAAGATCATATAATAAGGAACATGTGTTCTAAGTTGATTGGACCTTTCATCAAAAACTACCTTGATAAAAAACTTTAACCTGAAGCGGGACAGATGGACGAACGGACAGACGAACGGGCGTACAGACCGAAAAACATAATTACCCTAAGTGGGGCATAAAAAGAAGTTGTTTAATTTCTACGAAAGAAAAATAGCTTATTTCTGTAATATTTTACCTGTAATTATTAGTTGGATGCTACTACTGTACCCTGTTCCTATTTCATTGACTACGCCACACACATAAATGCCTGAATCTATTTGTTCCGTGTTCAAAATGGTTAAAGATGAATCTTTAATAGAACTTCCATTATATTTTGAATCAGATACATTCAGATATTCACCATCTCTTTTCCAAAAGACTGCCGTAGGTACAGGGTATGACTCATGAACACATTTGAGTTGAATAGTATCACCAGTTGAAGCTTGAATATTATCTGATGATCGGTATACTAATGGAGTATCTGTGAAAGAAGCAATGAAAAGACATGTTAAGCACATTTTTATTCCCCGAGGGTATCGCCAGCCCAGTAGCCAGCACTTCTATGTTGGCATGCATTATCATTGATATGGTCATAATCATAAATTAACTGTTTACAAAACTTAGATTTTTTGAAATACTAAGGCTTTTCTACATCAAGAATAGATTACCTTAGCTGTATTTAGCAAAACTTTTAGGAATGTTTGGTCCTATGCTCTTGAACTTCCTACTTTATTTGGCCTATTTAACTTTTTTTTTATTCGAGCGTCACTGATGAGTCTTTTGTTTACGAAACGCACGTCTGGCGCAAAAACAAAATTTTAATTCTGGTATCTATGATGAGTTTAATTTAACAAGCGTACCTTATATTTTTTTTATAATAAATAAGATATATTCTTTAAAAAAACAACGCTCATCATTCAGTGCTTAATTACACAGGCACTTGAATGTATCAATAGGGAGGTCGACTATCAATGTATTAAAGGAGTATGTGACTACGACCGGCTCCGTTTCGGACGTTTTCTGTTATCATTTACACTTTATGATAATCTCACTAACGGAACAATAGTGATGGAACATAATAATACTAGACAATAGTCTATTTTTTATGTAACTGGCTTTTGATTCCGGAATTTATATTTTTTCGACAGGTTTCTTTCTCTGTGGTTAGACATCCTGGTACTCGGTCAATTACGAGCGACCAAAATAAGTAAAATCAAATATATAAATGGTGCAATTGGGGGTGGGGGCATTGGGGGGGGGGGGGGTGTGGGGTGGGGTGGGGGGGGGGGGTGGGGTAGTTTACTGCTTTCCCACAAAATTGTATCGATTAAAATCTTGAATTTACTTATTTACGTTGCTCTTGCTTGACCGAGTACCAGGATGGCCAACCGCAGAGAAGGTAAACTGTCGAAAAAATATAAATTCCGGAGTCAAAAGTAGGTAATATGAAAATGGTCTATTAAAAATGTATATGATAACTCTGATGACATTCTCTGTGAATAATAGTTAGATAACTATAAAGTAGAAACCGAAAGGGTAAAAACATGTGTAGTGCTATAGGAAGTTATTCAATAAAACGATTAATATGAGGTACATGTAGGGATTACTCTACATTAAGTTAAAGGTAACAATAGATGTCCGTAGGGTAGACGGGCGTCACCTTCTTCAGACACCTACCGCTATAATGAAGCGATAATCGGCCTAACCATTGATAGAAACAGGTGCTTGTCATTAATTGTCTATTGTAATCCAAATTCTGTAAACCCTGTAAACAAACGTTCTTACTAAACATTTAGAACGAAAACAACTTTTCTTAAGATGAACTACATTACCTTTCACATACAGTTGAATAGCTTTCTTGCTGGTGACTTTAACAAGGTCGTAAGATGTTTCACATGTATAGTTCCCCGAGTGGTACCTGCTTAGTTTTGAGATTGTTAGCGGTGGAGTATTCACAGTACCTCCACTATATTCCATACTACTGGTTGTAACAATCTCTTGATTATTTCGTCGCCATGCTACACGATTACCACCAGTAGCTACACATGGTAACGTTACTGTTTCATTTGCCCTTATATTCAGGTTTATTGGATCTTGAACGTATACAGCTGAAATATGTACCAAACTATACGTATAAAAACCTTTACTAAATTCTATCATAAATGCAAGTTTAGCTGTACTTGTAGAAAACTTATTTCAAACGGATTAGGCCATCATAAATTTTACGGTGATGTACGATCCGGGTAAATAAAAGCAACAGTAGTATACCGCTGTTCGAAATTCATAAATCGATTGAGAAAAATACAAATCTGGGTTACAAACTAAAACTGAGGGAAACACATCAAATATAAGAGAACTACGACACAACAGAAACACAACATTAAAATGTAACACACACAGAAAAGAACTATAATATAACAATGGCCATTTTCCTGACTTGGTACAGGACGTTTTGTGGCTAGCAAAACCTCCCGCTTTTATGACAATGTTAAATATAACATTAAAATGACAACATTACATGACAGGACTACAACACAAATAAATGGGAGAACATATAGGACAGAGAAACATACGAATAATAGCTAACAAGAGGTACCAGGTTTAAAATTTAATACGCAATACGCGCGTTTCGTCCACACAAGACTAACCAGTGACGCTCAGATTAAAAACGTTCGAAAGCCAAAACAAGTACAAAGTTGACGAGCATTGAGGACCAAAAGTTCAAAAAAGTTGTGCCAAATACGGCTAAGGTTATATGTCTGGGATAAGAAAATCATTAGTATTTAGAATAATTCATACTTTAGCAAACAGTAAATTTATAAAAATGACTATATAATAGATATACATGATAACACCGGGTACCGAAGTGGTGACCAACTACAGAATAAAAACGGATACATAAAACACCATAAACCAGCACATAAAAATTCACAGCCGAGTTAGCCAAAGAGATCAACGCAAAAAAAGTGACGTCACATTTGAATTTCTGAAATTTCCCAAAAAATAGGATAGAATTAGGATAGAATTCAAGATTTGGTTTATAATACTCATATAACATTTATTAATAACAATGAAAATTACAGTACTAATTTATATAAAATGTGGAAGTAATAAGTTAAATTAATAGTATTATCTAGCTATGTCGGTGTTTCTTCTAAATCAAAACTATTGTTTTTATTGGTATACATATCGATTTTGTTATCAGTAAATTAAAACCATACTAAATATTACACATATGTACTTTCATGGTACTACAATCTGTGACAGTCGATAACTATAGTTTGGCATTGCACAAGCTCATGTTTTTCTCTAACTGTAAATGACGTTTTTAAACTAAATCCATTATTGTTATTGGCTGTGAACTAGCTGCCAGTAACTGCAAGTACTCTCAGACATGTATTTAGTGTCTTTTTGTTTTTTGAATGTATAAGTACACGTCCACGTCCACTCGGTGATTTTGTTAGATATATTTGTATCCATCTAATGAGTAAAGCCTTTTTCAATTGATTTTATAGTTTGTTCTTATGTTGCACTGTTACACCACAATCCCAGATTAGGGGGAGGGTTGAACGCCCACAAACATGTTTAACCCTGCCATATTCTGTACGTGCTTGTCCCAAGTCAAGAGCCTGTAGTTCAGTGGTTGTCGTTTGTTCTTTTCTGTCATATTTGTATTTCGTAAATTGTTTTGTTACAAATTAGGTCATTTGTTTTCTCAATTGAGTTGTTTCATATTCTTGTCGGGGCCTTTTATAGCCGACCATACGGTATAGGTTTTCAGATTTTTGAAGGGCGTACGGTTGCCAATAATTGCTTGCAATGTATATCCACTTCGTTTGAACTTTGGTGGATAGTTGTCTCATTGGCAATCATACCACATCTTCTTATTTGTATAAAGAAAGCACTATTTTCGAAACAACTCAAACGTTATTTGATCTAATCTATTAAAGCATTTAAGTTTGACATATTTTCAATAAAATGTGAACGCATTCTTATAAACCATCATGTATACGAATTAAATTCGAAATAGCAAATCTGTTGAATAAGTTATCACAGAATTTCATAATTTGTGACCACGGATTAGATTTGTCAGCACGAATTTGTCTTGCTGACAAATTTAATCCGTGGTCACAAATTATGAAATTCTGTGATAACTTATTCAACAGATTTGCTATTTCGAATTTAATTTGAAAATTCGTGATCGCACATTTTTAAATTTGTCAAATATGCCGAAAATGCGTGTTAAATAAAAGGTAAAATCACAAAAATACTGAACTTCGAGGAGAATCCAGAACGGAAAATGGCAAAATTAAAAGCTCAAACACATCAAAGGAATGGACAACAAATGTCATATTCCTGACTTGATACAGGCATTTTCTTAGATAGAAAATGGTGGATTAAACCTGGTTTTATAGCTAGCTAAACCTGTCACTTGTATGACAGTGGCATAAAAATCCATTATATTGACAACGATGTGTGAACAAAACAAACAGACATAATAGGGGAAAATGTTAAAAATAGGGGAAAAGCAATCAACATTGTGTTATTATCTTAATCACTATAAAACAAACAAATATGTAAACAAACATTTTAACAATAACACAATGACGTGATGTAAAAGTACAGAGCCACGTCATATGTATCAAAGAAGTACAAAAAAGCATAGAGACAAAGCATATAAGCAAAAATGAAAGACAAGAATACAAAAATTATCATAGAAAAATAACACAATGACGGGATGTATAAATACAAAGCCACGTCAAATGTTAAAAAGAAACACAAAAAGGTATATAGACAAAGCATATTAGCAAAAATGAAAGACAAGAATACACAAATTATCATAGAACAATAACACAAAAGCGGGATGTAGAAGTACAGAGCAACGTCAAATGGATACCACCAAAAACAGACTAAACAGTAAAAATAATATTCATAAAGACAAATAAAAGAATACTATAACACGTTGTGAAGATGACAAAAAACGTCAGTACCCAGAATCTATACTTCAAGACCATCGTGTACTATTTGTAAAGTTGATATGGAAAATTTATCAACAAGATCTTGATACCTTCCGATGAACTTTTTTAGAAAAAGGACGAGACATTCTTTGACATACCCCTGGTTCATCAACTTTCTGCTCAGACACTGGACAGGTGAGGTTTTACAAAGTCTGATTAGTTCCTGCATGCTCTTGAATACCGAATAAGTTTGGAAATGTATATCCCATATTCAGGTGACGTTGGTATATTGCTACTTAGGTGGGGGAAATTGATAATTTCAAAATAAAAATAGTCTCGTTTGTCATAGATTCTGGTACTGAGATGATCATTATTTCAAATTCGAGGTAAAAGTCTAAAAATGAAGCGGAGGAAGCCGTGTCTGTTGTTTCTTTAATTTTTTAGTTCTGAAGAATATATCAATGGAACCCAATCAGAAAAGTGTGGATTGTTAATGGAAAGAACATCATCAATATATCTGAATGTGAAATCAAATGACCTGGCTTCTTTGATATCCTTGTTTTTGACAAGTGTCTGAAGGAACTCCGATTCATATGAAAACAAGAAGAGGTCGGCAAGGAGAGGCGCACAGTTCATTCCCATAGGAATGCCAAAAATTTGTTGAAAAAGTCTTCCTCAAAATTCAACAAATATGTTGTCAATAAGAAACTCCAGCATACTGATCACTTGTTCCTCTTTGTAGCATGTTTTACCTTTTTGTTCACTTTAAACAAAATATGCCGTATGGTATCCCAAAGTAATAAATTTATAGCGTATGCTACCATTTTTATGTTGGAAAGCATTGTGGATTATTTCTTTTATACGATTTTTCAATTTCACACGGGGAATGGTGGTATATAGGGTTGAAAAATCAAAAGTTTTGATAGAACAAATTTCAGAAAAAGATCGAGATTTAAAATTATCCAAGTTCTTAAGTGTTTTTTTTAGAATCCATATATGGTTAATACCACTACGCGAGTAAACAGTTTCACAGTATTTCTGAAGACCCTCTTTCACTGCGGACAGAATTTTTGTCAATCTAATGGACAATTCTTTAGTCGAACATGCAGATGAGCCGGCAATGTACCGTTGTTTGTATGGAATTTTGTGACGCTTAGGTATCCAATACAAACAAGGTAAGTCCTCTGATTTGTTTTTCAATGTAATATTCATTGAAGACATGAAGGACTTATGATTCGCCAAAATCTCATACTTGCCAAATGATATGTTTTTGTATGTGGGATTACCTGAGTGCTCATGTATTTCTAATTCTTTTACAAGACACTCGTAGTAGTAAGATTTACATACAAAGACAATATTATTTGAAGCTTTGTTCGCAGGAACAACAATATACTTATCGTGAAGAGATTATAGACATTTCACAGCCTCTTTGTCTCTGAAAACGGACTTTGGTCGATCATTCACACAGTTTTTCAACTTATGAATGCGACGTTTGATCAGAGACCTGATTGTTTTGACCCATTCTGACAAAGTGTCCAGGTCAACTTCTTCCCGTTTAGCCCATGCTCTGGCGTAGTCCTCAATGGTATCCATAATAAGTTTGAAGTTATGATTCAATTGATGCATATTTTGTGATAACGTAACAATTGTCTTACACGTATCACACGACAGCAAACATAATAAACATAACTTTATAAATGATTAAGCGAAAAACATTTTCGCACATCGTTGTCAATATAATGGAATTGTATGCGACTGTCATACAAGTAAGAGCTTTAGTTAGCTATAAAACCAGGTTTAATCATATTTTCTACATTAGAAAATGCCTGTACCAAGTCAGGAATATGACAGTTGTTATCCATTCGTTTGATGTGTTTGAGCTTTTGATTATGGACTTTCCGTTTTGAATTTTCCTCGGAGTTCAGTTTTGTTGATAAATGATATACACAATAATTGAGAAACAGGTTTAGACCTTAGCTATTACATACCATAAAACACAAGCTGTGTGTTAATCTTCAAAATTCTCTTGGTGAGTAAAATCATCATTTCAAAATAATAAACAAAATCAAGGTGAATGACCTCCTTATAATCAATATCTGGCTTTGGTGTCGGTACAAGTCGCACTCGATTATATAGTGAAAAGGTCTTCGTAAGGTGATTTATATCTACATTTTGATTAGTAGTAATACTTTTAATGAATTTAATTCTATGTATTGCAATGGTTCCAAAGTCGTCAACGGAAAATAGATAAGGCTACGATTACTTTGGTCGTAATACTCTAGAGCTTTAAAATGTACAAGGTGTTTTAATTCTTTTAAAGGACATAGAGTATCGTTAACGTTGTTATTATTATTCTGTAGAACTATGATAATCTCTCTTAAAATCGTAAACCAATACGACTCTACATTTTGATAACATATCCAATAAAATAATTAAAGAATTCATGTATATTTATACAAAATAACACTATTTGTACCACGTCTCATACTGTGGTTTACCAACTACGTCGTCTGGTATGCCAAGTTCTTAACGTGACCTTTTACCGAACATGACTGTTTTGCCGTGTGAATTAGCATTAATTTGCTTTATGGCATGTATGACGTGTCTCGGTATTTATACATCCAACATTCATGAATTTAGTTATGATGTTTAAGTCTTTTGTAAGTCTGATTTGATATTGTGGTATGTCTCTTTGTTTGTGGTTTTAATTCTATTTTTATTTTCTATATGTATGTAAAAGTTGAGATAATTAATCGGTTATCTCGTTTATATGATTTTTAGTTTAAATCAACTATATGCACAGTTTTGATTTAGAAGGAAAAAAGCTACATGGTTAGAAAATGCAAGTAATTACACCATTACAAACACAATTCCATTTAAATATTTTTGTCATGGTTAGAAAATACATACAAATACGATAACAAACCCAATACCAATTACATATTCAATTTTAAAAATTAACCTGTAGTAAAAAAAAATAAGTCATTTTTTTTTGTGTGTGACGCACAGTTTATAATTTTATTGTGGTGTCCTCGTGTAATGTCGTACATTCATGGGAGGTGTCCATTGTTATTCTGTGGTTATTCTTGTCATGTACTTTTATATCATTTATTTATGTATTTCTATGTCCTGAGTGTTCTTGCCTTTATTTGCGCTGTACTTCTGTCACGCTATGTTGTCATTTTAGCGGTGTTTTTAACATTGTTATATAAACGGGGGGTTTGGCTAGCTATTAAACAAGGTTTAACCCACATTTTTTACTTAAAATATCCTGAACCAAGTCAGCAATATGACAGTTGTTTTCAAATGGTCCATATCTATGTATGTTGGCGTTTGTTGTTTTTGCAGGTCAGTGATAATGTTGTTCCGTTGTTTTCCTCTTATAGTTGAGGAATTTCTCTCGGTTTTGGTTTGTGACCCGGATTTGTTTTCGCTTAATTGATTTATGACTATTGGACAGCGTTAACAAATAAACTCATCATAGATACCAGAACTGAAATTTTGTATTTGCGCCAGACGCGCGTTTCGTCTACCAAAGACTCATCAGTCATGCTCGAATCAAAAAAAGTTAAATAGGCCAAATAAAGCACGAAGTTGAAGAGCATTGAGGACCAAACATTCCCAAAAAAATTGTGAAATACAGCTAAGGTAATTTATTCATGAGGTAGAAAAGCCTTAGTATTTCGCAAACTACTGTTGCCTTTATTTAAACTGTGGGTCCGAAATAATTTTTGATGTTTGCGGTTAGCTATATATAGAAACAAACCTTCGATGTTGTCTACTAAACGCGCAAAAGAGTTACTTTCTATTGTCTCGACTCACAAGTATTTCATCTGCAAGTGCTGGTCGAGTGTCGTCACAGCTTTACAATGATAAACAAATTAAATGAAAATAACATAAGAAAATGCCTGTACAAAGTCAGGATATGACAGTTGTTATCAATTCGTTTGATATGTTTGAGCTTTTGATTTTGCCATTTTTCTTAGGGACTTTCCTTTTAAAATAAGAATAAGCAAGCTTTAACAATTGTTTTTTTCACACGCAATGGACCAAAAAAGTCGATTTGGCAATTTTTATCTAAAACGGTTTCCCGTAGTTATTTTTTCGACCAATTATTAGCAGACTTTGGATTGTTACAGTACGAATATTTTCTTATTTGGGGAAGCTCAATGTGACTTAATATGTTTCATTCTGTTTACTTACAAAGAACTTTCAATTCAACAACGTCCTCAGAAGTTCCAAATGTATTTACCAATTTACATGTGTAATTTCCGGCATCAATCTTCTTTATATTCTTAACAGTCAGAGACGGTTTACTTAGTGTGCTCTCACTATATTTGTCAGTCCGATAAAGCCTCTGATTTTTTGTGCCTTTCAACCAGTATAGATCTTTATTTGACTGGTCGGTCTTTATGCGACATTCTAGAGTTATATTTTGTCCTTCTATGGCGACATAATAGTCCTTCAATATGGTTGCCTGAGATATATCTATAAAATAATGATAAATAGTGAAACACGTTAGATACATCGGATTCCATAGTTTCGTATTATAACCTTTCTGAAAAAAAAACAACTGACGATTTACTGTTTCTATACACAGTAGGATTATTGTTAATTCGATTGAATTGTTCCTGTTTATTCAGGTATCTCTAGTAAAATAAAATGCTATCAAATCGACTTCACAATAATCAGTTTTATTTTTGACCGTCACACTTATATTTAATGATATAGCAGTGTTTAGCTTCAAAACAACGCATACATTTCCTCCTATTTTACTTTGATTCAACTTATTTTACATGATCAAGGTTTTTAATTTCAAATACTTTACTGAATGATATAAACGCGGATCATTAAAACCTGTCCGTGTATCAACCGTTAATGTACTGTTTTTTTGTATATTTCTACTGGGGGCAAAGTTGTACAAATAGTGTTAGGTTCATTAATTGCAACAATGCAACCAGTTTCGATAATGTTAAATTATTCTCTTAGATTAATAATGTAATATCTTATTGGTCACAGACCTAAAGCTTAGTTATAATAAATTTTAATTTGAGATGAATATATACGAGATTGCTACGCCATAGCGATAAGTCCCCTGTCGCTGCATAAATAAGAACTAGATTGTGTGCCACAATGTCTAATTATGGAACGATAGTCAAACAATGATAAAAAAGTAAAATAACAAAATTGCAAAATCAAAGACTCAAACACATCAACCCTTTTATCACTGCATTATTTCAATGATAAATTAAAAAAAATATACCCACTTCCAGAGATTAGCGTGGTATTTGCCTCCGCTGTACCGAATGTATTCTTTGCATTACATGTATATACACCACGATCGGAATCCTTCACACTTATAATGGTAAGATTAGGGTTTTGCTTGTTTCCACCACTGTATCTTTGTGCGTCAATGATAACTTGGGCTTGGTTATCAGTCCACCATAACTCACTAACTGCTGGGTTACTTTGAATACTGCAGTAAAATGTGATACTTCCTCCGATTTCAACAGCATATAATGGATGAGATATTGTTACCTGCGGCTTACCTGACAAAATATTTTAAGACTAACATGAAAAATTAAAACATAAAACAATAATTATTTAGCTTATAACTTTAAAAAATATTTCGAAAAAAAAAGAATTATAACATTTTTTGTATTTCTGTTTGACTTACCATAAACAGTAATCTGTGTGTAATTTCCATAGGAATACAAGTTACCCCAACTAAATAATTCACATCTGTAGCGGCCATCATCGTTGTACTGCAAATAGAATATTGTCAGACTGGCAGCGTGTATTCCACTATATTTACTTCTGTTATCGGGTATAATATTTTGATTTTCATATTTCTGCCAGTAAATAGTTCCACCTGTCACTATCAAATCACATCCAATTGTCAAAGAACCATATAGACTACCTATAAACGACAAAACATGATGTATTATGACTTTTATGATATGTTTTTGAGTGACTTGGTCCAGTTTTTACACCAATAAATTCCTTTAATAAGGCGTTTAATCCTTATAATTCTTTTAAATAGGGGAAAGGGAATTTAATTTCCCCACTCCTAACATTTATCGCACGTAAATTGTATATTTGTGTCATTGAATTGGCCTGGCGCATGAATTCAATTTTTGGTTAACGCAACAAAAATGTACTGTATGAAATTTGCTATCTGATGAAAAATAAACTACAAAAATGTCTTATAATCATTCAAATGAATGTTTTGTTTATTATTGAATTTAACGATGAACGCACAGAAAAAAATAATATTTCAACGTCACCGTCATTTTGTTTATATTGGTTACAAAAAGTAGTTCGGTCAACGTTGTCTATCGAAAAATAAACAACGTCAAGAACCACTACCGGGAGACCTCTCGACCAATCATATAAACGTATTCCCTAATATGCAAATAATATATGAATTATTCCTTTATACATATCATTAGGTACATGTATGTCTATGTAGTGTTCAAGATGTATGTACAGTTATATCCGTATAGCTGTTTTAAAAGATAAGGTTGTGAGTTCCTTATTGACAAAATATTTTCTGAATTTGGAGATAGGCTTTTTGAACCAATTGTCGGCATTTATATTGGAACGAGATATGTGCTTCTCCTTAGCTTGCTGAACTCTTCTTATTCTTAAGTCGGTTTTATTAATATATTCTCCATAACTAGAATTCAAAGAAAAAATAGACAGTTTGTTTTTCTATGTTGACAGTTGTTTGTTTTTAGTGATTAAGATTATAACACAATGTCGATTACTGTACCCCAATTTGTTGCATTGTTATCTATGATGTCTGTTTGGTTTGCTCACACATTATTGTCAATATAATGGAATTCTATGCGACTGTTGTACGACTGAGAGGTCTAGTTAGCTATAAAATCTACCATTTTCTACAAAAGAAAATGCCTGTACCAAGTTAGGAATATGACAGTTGTTTTCCAGAACATAGATTTCTCTGATGAGCTGTTTACATTTGTAAAGTCAAGGCCTTATATAACTAACTTTACAGTTAGCTTTTGTCCTTTGAGAGGGCGTACGATGTCTATATCCACGTCCTTTGAACTGATTGATAATTGCCTTATTTACAGTTAAACCACATCTCTTGCATGGATTTCGTGGGAGAAGTAAACCACTATTTTAAATATTTTATGAAAAACTAATTGTCTGAAGTTAACGTGCATTTTTTGACAAAACTGCAAAACTAAATATCCATTTTTCTTCAATTCAAGAAAATTAGTACTGACGAACATAAATGAATCCACAATACCTTAGGCAAATCTGACATTAATCGGTTTTTGATATTTATTTACGTCACTTTTTATACATCTAGATCCTCACGTATTTAAATATAAGAGGCTTTATATATAAATCAACAGTTTTGCTGTTTAAGCTCTTTGGACGAACCAAATGCATACTGTTTAAATAATGTTACAATTAATAAAAAAAGTGAGATGAATATTTAGACTGATTTGTTTTTTATTTATCTTTTATAGAATAATTAGGCAGTTGGTTTTCTCGTTTCACAATTCATAGTTTACTATACGGTATGTCATTTGTTCATTATTTAAGGCCGTACAGTGACTCATAGTTGTTGTTTACATCCACTCCAATTTAGTAACTGATGGATAGTTGTCATACTAATTCTCCATACTTTTTTTTAAAGAGATCATGGCACTTTCCCTACACGGTGTATATAAATCTGACCGAAAATGAATGCGTACTTGAACACATCAATCTTCAATATACATTGTGTCACTGCAGGCTTGCAGAAATCCAGATGACTATATATATGGGTCTAGTCCTTAAAAAATCACCTATATATTCTCCGGCCTTATTTATTTAAGAATATATGAGAGCTTTCTTACATTTTGACATAGACACGAACTAATTCGAACGTAAACGAAGCATCCATTAGTTTACATTCCCATGATGACAAGTCTCGAGTCTATATTTATCCGGTAAAATGGCATTCTATTGTATATCAAATGTATCTTTAAAAAAAACATCATTCATATAAAACACGCAATTCATTTGTAAAAATAAAGCAAAATAGTTTTAAATACACTTACGTTACTTATATACTGTAATTATGCTAATCACGTTTACACACATTTGGGCGGGAAATGTTCAGGTATGCACATATTTAAAAATGATTACTTAGTAACCCATTAAAATTTTAATGAAATTCCTTTCTCAATTTAACGACAAAATAAAATATTTTATTTTCATTTTCAAACGACTTTGTCATTATCAAATTGTCAAGGTGGATCGTCAAGATTTTCCAGACAAAGATTCTACAATGTATGGAAAAATTTTCGAAAAAAAATTGAAATGAAGAAAAATTAATAGCTGTGTCATGAGCGCATGGTACGCCCGTCACGGTTTTAAAGAATAAAGTTCAATTACTTCTATTTCATATCAGAAATTTATGAAAAACTAAAGGGAGGTTATCTTAATAGATATAAATCAGAAACCAAAATTTTAATGAAAACTGTTCAAAGCAATTTAAAGATATTGTTCGAAACTGGAAAATGATCCCTTTTTTATGAATAAAATTCCATAACACGGAAACGTAAAATCTAAAATATATAAAATGGAAAGGGAGCGAAAGACAACAGATTTAATCAATTCACCGAAAGTTTTGAGAACTGCTGAATGCATTTTTGAGTTATTGTCCATAAACTGGAAAATCATCCTTTTCTTAACGAATTAAAACCCATAACTCGGAAACGTTAAATCGGAAATTTATAAAATCGAAAGGGAGCTTACATCAATAGATATAAAGAATTCACCACATTTTCACGAAAAACGGCTGAAAGCATTTTTGAGTTATTGTCCGAAAACCAGAAAATCCTCCTTTTTTAATAAATAAAACCCCATAACTCGGAGTAGTGGGGGAAGTGGGCATTCAAACGACTCCGAGGTAATGCAAACCCTATGGGAGTGAGGTTAACCTCCCAGAGTTAACCTCCCTAATAAATGACGTCACGATATAGTGTTACATCACTAATCATGAGATGATTAATTACGGTAATCTGCACATTTCTATTTGTAACTTATTAACATTAATTACTTAATCAAAGTTATCAAGCTATTAACGATGGTTAAGTTAACCTCCACAAAGAAGTGAAAATTCCCAGTCTATTTTAAATAGATATCGGAAAACCCCATCTAAGTGTGTATTAACAGAGACATACACATATATATATATATTGTATTATATGTCTCTGGTATTAAATAATATCTATTCACCTACGGCTAAAGACGATTAAGCTGTGATAACATGATTATAAAATCAATATTGAAAGCGTGTTTAAACTTGTCCATTATTGTACGTAGCGACCTTGTCAATATATCCGCCATATTTGAAATTGTAAACATGATCATCGTGTTGGTCTTTTAGAATCAAATCGTTACATTAATGGAACAAAATAGTATTTTACATCTAACTATTTCTGTGGTGAAATTTTGAAAGGTATTTAATCTCGAATTTTATAATATAATTGTTCAATCAATATCGATAGCGTGTTGTAACTTTCAATAGGTTTTATTGATAAACGATGCACCGGTGTGTATCATTGTTAGCGTTTTTGTATGTTTGTGTGTGTGTGTGTTTGTGTGTATCGATTCAAGGTTTAATCCATAAAAATATGAGCAAGGAATTATCCAATATGATTCTCCTTTTGTGTGATTGTATTCCTATTTTATTTTTTTTTTTTTTAAGTTTCTGCTTCTCGGTACCACACTAATAATGATAACAACAATAATTTGTACAATATTTAATATCCCCGTCAATTCAGACAGACATGGGTCAAAGAGTTGCATATCACTCAACAGTATCTCTAACCTCACGAAAGGGCCAACAGTATGCTTTATTTCGTGCAGGAGTGTAAACTGTCGAGACTTGAAGTTAGTCTTTTCGGGATAGTTAACTCTCTCAAATATCAGATAAATCGCGAGCTTTAATCCAAGAGTTGAATTTCTTTGGCCAGTGTAACCATTTAACATAATATTGCTTGTTGGGTCCTTTGCCTTTTGTTTTGAGGATGTTTTCAACTTTCCATATATCGTCTTCCCGAACATCCACTTTCTGCACTTCTAATTGGTAGAAGGTTCCTGAAATTTCTTCGTCTTGAAAATCAATAAGTCGATAAAATGGAAGCCCACCATGTAATATGCTTTGAGATATTCTCCGCTCCATTTCTCATCGTGTTCCCTGGTAAAAGGATTTCTTATGTATGTAATCCGAACTTTATCACCGTTTTTGAAACGGAAAGGTTTTCGTACATTCTTTGTCTCAGGTTGTAATCTTTTTGACCAATACATTTTCCACCAAAGGTTTGTCTCTTTAGATAGGGTGACTTTATCAGGTGCCATGCCAATCGTTCTATGGAAGGTCTTGTTGTAGCTGTTAGCAAAATTCTGTAAGTTATCCACATAGTCATATGACTGCTTACTGGTGATAAATCTCATAATTTTTGATTTAATAGTCTTGATCACTCTTTCAACGTAATTAGCTTTGATTTTCGTATTTTGTGCAAATAGATGTTGAATATTTCTCTGATTAAGGAGAGATTCTACTAATCGTGATCTGAATTCTTGTCCTTTATCTGTTCTTATTCTGTTTGGAGATCTTCCTTGTGATAAAACATGTTTCAAAGCATTCGCCACGGATTCACCTTTCTTATTCTTTAAAGGTCTTAGCCATACATATTTGGAAAATATGTCAATCACCACCAATATGAAATTAAATCCACTGTTAAATTTCGAAAATTTAGACATGTCCATTAAATCGGCATCCCATTGGTCGTCTATTCCAATAACGATAACTCTGTTCCGCTTAAACGACCTTTTTAAGGGTCTTTGTTAACTGTATGGTTCCTGTCGTTGTAGCCATTTTCGTATTCT